CAGAAAGCTCCGACGTTAAGCTGCTCACTACTTGATGCAAGAAGGCAAGCTCTTCAAGAGGGGATATTCCCTACCATTACTGCGGTGCCTCGACCCAGAGGAGGCGAGGTATGTTATACGCGAGATTCACGAAGGAGTTTGCAGAAACCACGGAGGAGCTCGGTCCGTGGCTGCCAAGGTCGTCCGTCAGGGCTACTATTGGCTGACGATTGAGCGCTATACCAAGGAGTTCGCCAAGACATGCGACAAATGCCAGCGCTTCCCGAGCATCTTGAGGCAACCTCCGGAGATGCTGACGCCGATCTTAAGCCCTTGGCCTTTCGCTCAGTGGGGGGTAGATCTGATCGGCCCACTACTGATGGGGAAAGGGCAGTTGAAGTTTGCCATAGTAGCTGTAGATTACTTCACCAAGTGGGTGGAAGCAGAATCTCTGACGTCTATTATCGAGGGGAAGGTCGTCAGCTTTGTGTGGAAGAGCGTAATATGTCGGTTCGGTATACCAAACGCCATCATCACCGACAATGGAAAACAGTTCGACAATGCCCAGTTTAATCAGTTCTGTCGACAGCTCGGCATACGCCACCTCAGCTTGTCGTCGGCCCATCCACAGTCTAACGGGCAGGTTGAAGCTGTCAACAAGATCATCAAGCGTGGTCTGAGGACAAKGATGRAATCTCTGAAAGGTCAGTGGGCAGAAGAGCTACCGGAGGTGTTGTGGTCCTACCGAACTACACCCCGCTGATCTACTGGTGAGACGCCATACGACTTAGCTTTCGTGTCGGAGGCCGTCATTCCTGTGGAGATCGACATGCCAACGCCCCGAGTTGAGAATTTCGACGAACAAACAAACAGCGAAGCTATCCTCGTGAATCTTGACCTACTCGAGGAGAAACGATCTCACTCCTAGCTCAGACTAGCAGAATATCAGAACCGTATGGCTCGGTACTACAACGCCATAGTAAAAGTCAGAACGTTCAAGTCTGGCKACCTCGTCGTCAATAAGGTAATGCAGCATGTCGGAGCATTCMAAACGAACTGGAAAGGTCCCTACAGGGTCTTGAAGATACCCCGACCTCGAGTGTGTCTGCTGTCCGACCTCAACGGGAGACAACTCCCCTACCCATGGAACGCCGAACATCTGCGAGTTTATTATCAATGAAACGCATGTAATCCGACGTGTAARATTTCTTCCATTAATGAAAGCCAATCTCCAATGACTTGTGCAAAATTTGACTTTATTCRTTAGTATCGTTTGCTACTACCGAGCTACGTCAAATAGAAGCTAAGGAAGRCTACGTGGTATGACCTATGCTAAAAGACCTACGTTAAGTTGTGTTTTTACAAACATGCGAAGCAATGGTCAGCTTGTAGGAACTTGGTTATCCCAAGCATTTCCTTGAACACACCACCGAGCTGAACTGTTCGGCTCGTAAGCCGTTGTGTAGGAAATCGATTATTAAGACTTGAGAAACTCAGACAACGAGACCAAAATTTGAAACTCAGATAACGAGACCAAAATTAAAATTGAAATTTTAATATTTCTCTAAGTATAGGGACCTCGGAGAGACCGACTCAAGTCTGAACTAAGTTTGTTTTCATAAAAAATTGAAAGCTTGATGGAGAGCCGAGGTGTATATACCCCATCTCTGTACAATAAGTTGATTCTAAAAATGAAAAGAAGCAACAGGAGAAGGAGACGATCTACTACTGCGGAGGATCAGCAGGTTGGCTGACCCCTGAGTCGGCATTAGCGACCTCAGCTCCCTTATTGGCCTCGGCAGGGCGGTCGACCCAGATAGACTCATACTCCAGCTCCACAGCGGCGATGGCCTCTTCTGAGCAAGCAATGTCGAGCCTGTTGATGGTGTAGTAGAAGCCCTTGTTCGC